TTAAGCCTGTAATGTCCGGGTTCTGTTTTATAGAGGGAAGACAAAGAAAGAATCGAAGAAGATGAGGTGAGAAGTCAGGAAGCCAAACAGAGAGAGGAAAGGAAGCAAGGGAGTCAGAATTCAAAGAACTTATTTCGCCTATAAAAATCGTCGCAGCGTAACGAGAGATAGAAGCCAACTATAACGACTTATCGGGAGAGTCGATCGACACAAACAAACAAATAAGGAGCGGCTCAAAACTTCGGGGCAGGAGGAGAGCCCGTGCCCTAAGCCAATCTTGTTGTCACTTTACCTCATTTATAGTGGTTTAAATTCCCAGCTTTAAGCTTACCCTATCACATGCAGCTTTATTTCCTAAATTGAAGTGTGACTTAGTTCAGGTGAACCAAACCCCTAGCTAAAAATCTTAGGGAACTTTTACCAAAATATTATCACTTCAGTTCGACTGAATTCAAATTACCTACAAAATTGCACCAATTTTCTCAAAAAAATTGCACTCTAGGGCTGCAAATGTCAACAGCATACCATACCCTATGTCAACAGCATACCATACCCCATACTGAGTACTGACGACTACCTCATGCAGTGGTTTTTATAATCGGATCAATTGGCTGGACGGACTTCATTATTTTTGGGTCATTCTTGTTAAGTTATTCTAAAAATGCTTTCAAAATTCATTTTTAAATTTAGATATTCACTTGTCATCATTTTAATAAAGGTTAATGTTGCTTTTAAATTATATTTAGTTTCTCAGTTATTATTCTTCAATTTTTAACTTTTTTTACCTGTCTGTTGTTTGTTTGGTGATTAAGCACACATATTGTGGTGAGGCATTAAAAATTTGTGAAGGTATTTAAAAAAAAAATCATTGCAAAGCTTCTATTATGAATAGCTAATGTTACGATTTTTATGGGTGAAGTAACTTTTTTTCCATTTCGACTCCCTCACCTCCTCTCCTCCCTCTATTTGACTGCCCAACTCCTTGCCTTATCTTCGATTTTTCATTTCTCCTCCCTCCAGGTAACGGAACCCAGACGTTACAATCTTCTCTACTTATAAAAATTTCGTTTTCGAAATTTAAAAATAGACTTCAAGTCATTTTTTTATTAATCAGATCAACATTAGCTATCCATAAATTTTATGATGAAAACTAAAAGTCATTCGTTAAGATGAAAATTAATGCTATATGGTAAAGACTCGATACAAGTTGACTCAACTATACTTCGGATATCAATACTAAAGCAAGAAAGTATGTTAAGAAAATATCCTTATATAAGAACCAAACTTATCAGACCTCATCACCATCAACAAGAGTAGGTTCTTTAGATTCAGTATGAGCAATGAAATATACTCAAGGTTGAACATGTTGTCTTGGTTGACCTTGAGAAGGAGCTGAAGGTACTCTTCTTCTGTCCGCATGCAGTCATTTGTGAAAGAGCTCCACATGAGTTTCGATATTCATCACTCTTTTGGCCAAGAAATGGACAATATCTTGTCATATGACCAAATTGATGACACCAATAGCAAGTATTAGAGCCCATCAAACATTCACCCTTTTGTTGTCTTTCGCGTTTGACACTGGGTTGTATTTTTGCTAACTCTACCAGAATTGTTCTTGGACTTATTATTGGATCATTCTCAAGGATCTACATGTTCACCTTCATTATTACTTTTCCTTTTGTGCATCTCCTTACATTTCTGAGTAAGCTGATAGTCAATCTCTACTCTTCTATCTCGCTCCACTAATACTGAGTATTCATCGTTCAATAAAGGTACCAACAACTATCCGATCGAATACTATAATCTTGAAAAAAATCTATAACATTTTTCTTCCGCGGTAGTAATCAATTGTTGCGCATACATTAACTATGCAATGAATTTTTCTTCGTATTTCATGACTGTCTTTTCTTTTTGTTTCAATTTGAAGAACATGCCACGCTTCTGTCTTCGAGCAGGTAAGTGTGCAGACCATTCTTTGAATAGCTCTACAAATTCTTCCTAACCGAACATCATATTGGGTATGTCCCTAACTTGGTCTGATGAATGCCCACACCATCACTTTTTGGCTTCTCCATTTAGCAAACATGCAGCTAATGACACTTTTCTTTCATTCGGGCACGCCATGCTATCTAGTATCATGCTATCCTCATTAGTCAGTACTTTGTTTCAATCTGATCTCCAATTACCTTTAACAAAGGTGAACGCAGATCTATCTTCAAGTACTTATCCACAACAATTGTATCATTTCTGATAGATTGCAATCTGGACTCCTGAATCAACTGAGTCATCGCCTCTATCATTAGGGGCAAGGCATTCGTATTCCCATTTATAGTGGGTCGTACTTCATTTTCTATCAAATTCACTTTTTTTTTATAATTTTGGGTTTATCACTATGCTTGAATTCATATAATTATTAATTTGAGTTAACTTAAAATTTTAATTTTTTTATTTATTAAAATTTTCTTATAATTATTATATTGGCTTTTTCATTAATATTTAATTAATTAATTCTAAAGCTTGTTCTTTGATACCACTTTTGTCACGACTGACCCTAAGATTGGAGTTATTGCAGATGAGAACAGACGGTCTGACTATGAGAATTTAATTTTTTTTATATTCATTTATCATTTGACAAATGAAATTACCACTAATCAAACTAAATTAAAACAATATATTTAAAATTTTCTTGTTATCGGTTGTCTGCGCCTTCTATAAACATTTTCTCTTTTATCGCTTATCTTTTAATTACTTAATTAGACCTGAAATGTTAATTTAAAATAACAACAAGCCTAAACAAAGCTAATGGATACTTATACTCCTAGATTACAGTAGTATAAAGGAACATAGTTTTTAATAAATTATTATAAATATTTTATGTTATTTAATGAATCTTATTATATCAATAACATATTTATATCATTTATATATGTCATAGAAATATCGTTTAAAAATTATATCACTTGAGGTACTTTAATATCAATATCGTTTTCTATTTACATGCACGAGTACCTTAACACGCCCCTCTGGTATCATAAAAAGAGTGACTCTATCATAATCAGTCATGCACATACAAACATTTTATGAAAATGACTATTTACTAAAAAGATATATTATGTTCTCATTTGCGTAACAGCAACATACTTATAAATCATTTAATCTTTATAACAATTTAAATTATTTTATGCACGCATCATTCCTGCAATATGAATAAAAATTCGTTAAAATTCAAAATCCTGAATTTGCAATATATTCAGTACAACTAATGATAGTATTAGTAAATGCATTTGGTCTAAAATAAGCAAAATATTACCATAATATAAAAATACAAGTACTCACCTCGATGTTGATTAATTTACCTTAACGTCAACTCTTCTAAAATTAGAAGTCTAACATGGTATAAAATGGTATAAGATTTAATTAATTTATTTTTTTAAATTGGAGTTTAAAGGCCTTCATTTGAGTAGAACTAAAAGAATACATGGAATGTAATTTTAGTAGTAGTAGCTCTAATGACATAAGTGTAACTTTGGGTGATCAAATTATTAAAAGGTGTGAACGATTTAGATATCTTAGGTTTTTTGTTCAAAGTGATGGTGATATAGATGGGGATGTTAATAGTAGAATTCAAGT